AACGATATGCGTAAAATATTTTTAAAAAAGTTATTACCTATTAGGTATATTATGTACCTAAAAACTAAAAAGATAGAAAAAAATGTATAACAATACAATTACATGTACAATTATTAGAAATATTATTATATAAAATTGATGGAATTTTTGTACCAAAATATCATATTTCAATATTATACAAATAGGTATCAAAATATGTCAAATCCATAATTTTTTTCCCCAAATATGTAATAAAAAAAAAAATGTTAGGCATTTATTTGCACACTAATGTCTACTATACGTAAAACACAAATTCATATTTATAATGGCGATATCATGAATTTGATTCAAACTTATATTTAATTCAGAATTAATTAATTTGATGTACGTAAAGACTCAATAAATCCAATAGCCCTGGTTAAAACACACTCCATAATACAGAAACTCATAAACCGTACGTATATTTAGGTAGCTATGACCTACCTATGTTTAATAAATAATAATATAATACATTTTCAAGTGATATCGAAAAAAACATGATATTGCATGGACAAATGTTTCTCATTTTAACGATGAAAATATTGTTTTTTAACTAGGATTATAGCCCAGGTGGGTTTTACCCAATCGAAACAGTTTTAAACAAACAATTTATTATGGATATGCGGCGTCCTTATTATATAACCCTATGAAAAATGTATCTCGTGCATTCCTATAAGGTTTAATGATATTTATAAATTTATGTTTGATTGTTTACTCGAGATTTAAAATAAAAAACTAACTTTATGATTTTTTTAACACTGAATGTCCATTGAATATATAATATTTAAGGGAGTATTATTTTAAATCAATATTCTGTTTAAGATGTATAATGAAAATTAAAATATTCAATAACTGTATAATATAATAATTGTAGGTACTACTAGGTAGGTACAACCATATAACTATAAACAATAGAAAATATTCCATATTAATTCCATAATATTTCCTAATTAATCCTAAATGTGAATGATTATTAATTAACGATATAAATAGGTACCTACTTCGTTATTATTATAGAAACGTTACTACAAACTTATTGCCTCTAAAATTTGAATGCAGCTATGTATAATTGATTATTAGTTTAATAACTAAACTTTCACGAGCTTATGAAATTTGAATGTACCACACATGCAATCATTTATATAACTATTATAAAACTAGTAGAAACTGTTAAGTAGTATTATACATTTATACAGCATAATATATATACTATTAAAGTTATTTATGTATAATATATGCATTTAATTAATTACCTACCGTTGAATTGTAAAAAAGTAATTTATTAATGAAACAATAATACTACCTACAATGCATTTTGAGTTCTAGGGATTTATTTAGCATTTAAGCTGAAAACAGTACAATATAACATTTCAACTCACAAACTTTTTTTAAACTAAATTTGCTTCTAAAACATGTGGTAATATTTCTTTATGCTGTAAAGTGTAAACTCAAATCCAATTATTACCTTTGCAATATTTTCAAGGATGATTTACATGAAAACCGCAGCCTACACTATTTTTCTTGAACATTTTATGAATCTTAATGTATAGGTACTGTATATTATGTTTTTGCTTAAAAAAATTAAACATCGTATTGTAATTAAAAACAAATAAGGTGTATTATTGTTATTAAAGCTAACCAGTGCAAGTGTTTGGAAGGAACGAGGTCCAAAAGGAACAGCAGATTCCTGGAACGAATTCGTTTTTAAAGAACGGCACGTTGAACGAATTTATTTTTAATAAAAAAAGAAGGAAAAAATAAAAGAAGAAAATACTTTTTTTTTAAGGAATAATAACAAAATTGTTCGTTCCTTTCTAGTTCCCATAGTTTACACAATACACAGATATTATGTATATAATTATTGAAATTATGACTTGTTTTAATGTGTAAATGTTTATTTCCAATTAGTTATCGTTATTGAGTATCGACACTCATTATCTAATCGTTAATCATTAGTTATTACTTATTAGTCATTTTATTAATATTTCTCATAAGTTATAAGTTATAATTTATATAGAAATGAGTATGTACCTAAATAAAATATAATTATTTATAACAATAAACGATTAGACAGTCGTCATATGTCGGCTAACAATTTAATTTTGAAGAAAATCTCAAAATAAAATTATAAAATATGTACCCTCTACTTGTAGGTATATATTAAAAATTAAAATTAGAGAAGTATGTATAATATGAAAAAAAAATAAATGATTAAATAAGAATTTTTAATTTATTTTGAACTAAAAAGTAACTTGTTCATTTTCCAAAGGAACGAATTCTCTTTTTTTAAGGAACGAGGAACGGCAAAAATTCCTTTTTTTTAAAAAAAATAACAAGAAACGGAACGAATTCCTTTTTATAAGGAACTTGCCAAACACTGTATATAACATATTTATTACCTACCTTTTTATGGTCCTATCAGGATTACGCGCTACGAAGAGGTACTTTGCACTTGCAAGATGTCCTTCCTACCTACTTAATGTATTTCTTAATTAAGAAAAAAATCTTTTTCTAATAAACAGAAATGAATATAGGATAATATAAGAAAAAAATCTAAACAAATACAATTATTATTTTTATTTGTGTTGTTTTACATTTTGGTATTAATAATATTAAGTTTATCTGTTTGATAAAAAAAAATTAACCAACCATAATAGTATTATCTTGTATGCTACAACTTTGCAGAATAATTTTTAATTAGATGAATATTAAATTTACATAAATAAACACTGTTTTATGTAAATTTAATATTCAGGCAGTTAATTTTCATTTCTTAAACAAGTGTACCTATAATAGTAGGAGTTGAGAGTCAGCCTCAATTTCTAAGAAAATTTGTTATTTAACTTATATAATTCTATTATAATAGGTATTGTAATACTTATATTTTTCTATTGATTATTAATTTTTGACCCAAAAAAATTGCTTTTATCTTATAGTTATTTTTATATTACATGTCGTATTATTACAATAATACTTGCTGTTATTCATTTATTTTACTTATAAGTAAAACTATGTGAACAAATATCATAATTTCATTATGTACAGAAAAAACAATATTTTTCAAAAATTAGTCTAATTATTTTGAAAATATCTTTGTAAATAAAAATTACAATTTAAGCAATATACGTAGTGGAATTAATTATACAATCAATAACGTTTAGTATAAAAATTAAATTAAAAAAAAAAGATCAAATTTCTTCACAAGAAATCCACTTAAAAATTGAAAATTGAATCATTTTTACTGCTATAACACCACCTACCAATAACACTCATCACTCAAAATTTAGAATATAAAGAAATTGTTTGTGTTCTTTATTCCAATGCGATATGTAATTTATTTGAAATGATTTACAATTTAAAAATAAGAATGAAAACTTTACTCATATTTATTATTTATCCATCTTATATTTTATTTCAAAAATTTAAATTATGTATATTATACATTCCATTTGTGTGAAATATTAAATATATATATTATTTATTAAATTTTGAAAACAGATTAGAAAATTTTATCTAAATAAGTTAACTAAATATAGTCATTTTTCGATTAATATCAGTTTGTATGGAAATTTGAAATATCTATTAAAGTATAAATTGTATAATTTTTTTGATTTTTTTTAATATCATTTCATTCAATTTTAAATGTTTCAACATAAATTACAAAATTGTAAATTGTAAATCTAAAGTATGAATCAAGTAATAAATATCAGTGGGAAATATAATGAACTGAGTTTTTGTGACTGTATTACAAACACGAAATTTATAACTTGTTGTTAATATAAACATTAAACATATATTATAATATTATGTTGAGATAGGTAGATGAATCGATTTAATAAAGGTGTACCAGTATTTTTCACAATGTGACTATTGTATTGTTGCACAATAATAAAACGTGTCCATGGATAAATATGGAAGTTACGGACAGAGAAGTTAAAAATATGAGTGGGTACCATTTATGGCAATACCACCGCTGGGCCATGATAGACAGCAGACCATCATAACGTGCCGTGGGGGGAGGGGGTTCGGGTAAACGTTTGGTTTAATAATAGCATCGACACGTGTGCTCGGTGATTGAATGGTACTTAATGGTATAATACAGGCATACCGAACACAAATCCACTTAACTTTACAGGGAGTTTATGCCGCGGAGTTGGGGCCGTGTGAATGATTGATCGAGTGCAGTTACCACTGAAAAGCGCGCGTCTATCGGTTTTCTCTTCTTTATCACCCCACCCCCTCTCCTTTCGATGGATACCCAAACCGTCTTGCCCCGAAATGAAAGGAGGAATAAAAGAAACCCCGCAGGGTCGTGCTGGTGGTAGAAACTTTGGAATTTGACAGGGCAAAATAAAACGCATTGCAGACGCGTCGATCAAATCGTGGTTTTTACCCTGCGGCCCCTTCGCGGCATATAGTTCCCCTTCAGCTCTAACCGTGGGACGGATTCAAATGTACATTTATCACCCTTTTATTTGCAATTCGTGTACAGCTCATAAAAATCTGATGGGATATATCTTTTTGGTAATGCTGTAAAGGGACAAAAAAAGATGCTGAATAATAAAACGAGATAGATCGACAATAATTAACGTATATTCCTTGACAACCGTAAATTCCAGAAATTTTTTTCGTTGAGAATAAAATAATATCCAACCAAAATCATTTGAAGGCTGGAAAAAAATGTACTACCTGTATTACACATTTAAATTTAATTCTTGGTTTTCAACCTAAACGAACATTAAAAATTTAAAAAAAGAAAAAAAGAACAGGAAACGAATTACCTAACTAAATACCTAGATATTATAAAAAGCGAAAGTAAATGCTATCACTGGATGGTTTCTTCCCTCACCCTACCTATTCATGTTTTCTTTTTTAAATTTTTGAAGCACATATTCTTATTATGCCTGTGTGTACAGATTGTATAGTCTCTAATAACAAAAGAAAAAATAAATATTATAAATTATAATTGTATTTATTTACAGGAGACTGGTCGAATTCGCCACCGGATTGCATCATGGTTAAGTGTCCGCCAATCAGCGTAGACGATTCCAGGTTGATCATGGTTGAGTACAACGACACGTACGGCAAACGAGCAGCATTCAAATGTGCTTGGGGCTTTCAAATGTCAGGTGTCAATTCGATTGAGTGCTTGGCGGATTCCACGTGGTCGCATCGAATACCTACGTGCACGGGTAATGATTGTTTGCTGTAACCTTTAAACTGTTTTTTTTTCTATTTCACTTTTAATTTCTAAAAGTTAAACAAGAAAAGTTACTTAAAAAAATGATTAAACTATACCAGCTTTGTTTAATATTATTGGTAGATAGGTAGGTGCATGTCAATCTTTGAAACTTAATGCACAGGCACAGGTATAACTAAAAAAAATAATTAAGTATTGTGTGTCCTGTACTATAGTTTCCTTTAGATCTTAGAACAACTAGATTTGTATTAATATAATTTAGATAACTTTAGAATAATTGGTAGGTACCTATAACTGTAAACATCAATCATTTTAATGATGTTTGACATGTTCTAGACTAAAATAATATAATTAATTGGAAAATGTGTACCACTGTGACTGCAAGTGGCGTCGAGGCTTATATCTAATGATACATTTGAATGGTTAGCAATTGTATAACATAAAGATCTATTAACATTTACCACCTGATTAATATATTATAATATCCTCTCAAGTGCTAGCTAATCTTCTTTCAATGTAAAACTTATATTCAAGCTTCAATGCCGGATTAAGGGGGGGAGGAACGAAGCCTCGGGGCCCTCTCAATTACCAAAATGAAAGGGGCCCAAACAGTTTTAAGCTGATACACATTGTTTAGTGATTTTAAAGAAAAGTTTTTCCTTATTTTAAAAACAATTTTTTTATGGACGAAAACAACTAAATAGTAAATACCTACAAATTAAGCACTATGTGGTATAAAAGATGCATTTTACTGTTATTTAATATTTTCATTGGTATCAATAATATCATCAATAGTTAATAATGTTATTTATGTACGGAGAGAGTTTTTTCTCAATTAACTAGAGTGAAAAATAAGTATATAACCAGTCAAACCCAAGTAAACTTAGACATACGAATGATTTTATATTCTGAGAATGATTCGTTAAAATCATTAGACTTAAATGAAGTTCTAAGAGAGTTGGCTTCAAGTAAAGCAAGAAAAAAAAATTATTTCATAAAATGGTTTTTGTTTGATATTTGTTGTAAATGAGTATACTGTTAGTAAATTTAAAAGTTACTATGAAAATTTGAATTTAAATTAATGAAATATGAAGTATTAACTTTTATTATACTACAATAAAATGAGTAGCTTTATAGACATACATAACATTTACCTATCAATTTTATAATTTTATAATGCAATTGTGAATTTGTGAAATAGTTAGAAAAATGTATGTTCGAGCGTAGCGAGCAGCTTTGTAAAGCATGTTTTGTCAAAAGGGCCCATATGAAATTTCAACCCCAGGGCCCAATAGGTTCTTAATCCGGCCTTGGCAAGCTTTGATTCTTAGTAAATCGCAATTATTTGCGGTGACAGATGTTCGTTTGATATTATAATATATTGATCATCTTAGATATAGTTTCACTGTTGTATTTGGTAATCAGTTTACTAACTAGTAATAATACATATTGTTATAAATTATTATGATTAGGTTTCAACCAAATAAGATAAGTAATAAAATCTTATACGGAATATTATACTATATTTTAAAGTCTTAGCTATACAAATTAAAACTTGGATTAGTTAATAAAATCAAAATAATTTACACATTTTTATACATTACAAGAATTTTGTCAACATTTGATAATTAAATTCTTATAAAACAAAATTCTATACTATGTATTTTTAAACTTTAAAATTACTTTTTGAATCAATGTCTGTAAATTGTACGAGGAAGAGGAACCTTGTGTTAATTTTTTAAGTATTTTTAATAACTTAAAATACTAAAAAAATTCTACACATTTTAAATATTTGTAAATAGTTTAAAAATTACTAAAATATGTTGATGATTCTATCTCGTTGTTACTTTACTTTATTTTCCTGTTTTTCTGTCAACGAACTGCTAAAAGTGTATTTTAATTTATAATTAATTGTATAACAATATTATGAATTTTACTTAAATATAATTTTTAATATTTTTGGCTCAACAATTTTTAATTGGTTTTTAAGTTATTGCATATGATTAAACTAACTATTAAACTATATACCTCCTTATTAAGTTTTCTCAAAGCTCTGCCCCTATAATTATAATATTATACTCTACTGAATGTGTCAAGTTTTTTGTTGTGGGAATTATATTAATTTGTATATTATAAATATAATACATCAGCGTTCACGTAAACGTATTCATTATTCTATGTAACCATCTACAAACTTTCTGAAAGTAATGCACGTCAAAAAAGCACCATAGCTTTTAAACCTAAGTATCTCATCAATCTTATAACTAAAGAGTAGGATGGCTGTCAATCAATGATATATTTATATATATATTGTAGAACTCAATAACTACGTAATTAATAATTTTTATTTCATACTGATACCAACACATTTCTATACAACTGAAAACTTATATTGATTGATGTGCATTATAATTACAGTTATAGAAGTAGTGATACTTTTATTTTAGTGTTTTGTAGTCAACGAATAAAAAATATTTCAAGCTAAATTCAGTTCACTCGTGACCATTGACAATGAAACATTGTGCTTTGTTTTTATACTTTTTTCCTTTTATCGACTCTTTTCTTTAATTTTGTCCATATTCTTTCACAAAATAACCAAATTAATCAATTCAGTTCCACCTATATTACGCATCTCGTCAGGAAAAATGAGAGTCACTAGCTCAAATGTTGTAACTTACTTATAATAGTTGATGTACCCGGTGATGTAGGTACAGCCGTGGCATTTATATCCTGATGTTTGGCCCGTTTATAACTGTTATCTTGTGATGATAAACTCAAACCGTCGTACACAATTGGAGATAAACATCCTAAAACTATATCCCCGTTAATAATACCAAAATCTCATCTACACAGTGTATCCAATTCACACTATAGTTTCATCATCACAAACTCAATCATCTTTTCTATGATCAATGACTTTAGTTCTTATAATAATATAATTATTAATTACAACATTATAACATTTCACCTGTAAAAGTTCATTTAAGTACAGAACATTTACAGACATTAATTAGCAAAGTCATGCCAGTAAATAAACAATTCAATACTCCCATTTTCAATGATTTAGTTTCATCAAATCCTTAAAATCCTAAAAAATGCATTCATTACCTGTCTAATATATGTGTCAATAATCTTCTAGCCTTCCAGCAAAATGTGATCTACGTGAGGGTGTTCATATTGCTAATAATCGTCCTAATCATAAAGAATTCCATAGTATCTATGTTGGTAGGTATATTGAAAAAATATATAAACATCAAAAATCTATATTAACCAATTTACTATAAATACTATAAAGGTATTAACGGAAAAAGATTCGGTTGAAGGCAAACAAATATGAAAACCTCAAGTGCAATGAGATACTTCAGCAAAGGTGTATTTACTATTTAACACACCATATGGTTCTGCGTTTGCCTCATTGTAATCCCACAACATGCTGAAATCCATTGTTGTACAAATATATGTGAGACTCGAGAATAGTGATCGAGTTAGCCAAGGTGGGGGTCTGTTTGGAGGAAGTGGTGGTGTGGGCAAGGGATGTATAAGACCAAGAGCGAAACAGGGATGGAGTAATATATTTCATTAATCAAATTTTAAGGGCACGCGGAATATAAATCACACGGTAGCACCACCGGAACCACGACACACTACAGCAGACCGTACTCATTCGATCTCCCTCTCTCGCTCTCTCTCCGCCTATCTTTCTCCCTCTGTCACTCTCCCTATCTGCTATCTGTCTTTATCTCACAATGTGTGTGTCCCTGTATCATCCGTAGTCGTCTACCCCAAAAATATTAATGGAATTCGTCAATCTCAAATTTCCGTTTACACTACAGACGTAATTAATTGCTACACTTCACAATGTGCTCTTTCTGCTGCTCAAGCTCCTGTTCGTAAGCCTTCTATCCTGTCTGTATCCGATTATACCTACCCCAATATTATAATATGATCGGTGACAAACAATGGTTAGTCTGTAAGTTTGTTTGTTTATTTTTATGTAGATTCTCCTATTTTTTTTTCAACTAACTTTTTTAGAAATAAAAAATATAAATAAAATATAATATACTCTATGGAATCAAATAAAATCTGTTTATTGGTGTTATTGATGAAAATCGTAATTTGTAGGTACACAAAAAAAAAAATGATTACTAGATATAATGGTCAACTATATATTCAAAGTTAACTGAAATTTCCATAAAATTAAAAAAAATTACCATATCTTTTACCTTATCTTTAGGATATATTTTTTTTAAATCCTGAGTTGAGCAATGAATGAACTGATTTTATAATGCTGTATTTTTTTTTCTGTTTACACGATCATTAGTAAAAGAATGCTTCGGGTTTCAGCTTTAAAGGTTTATTATAGAAAATTTTATCTAGTTAGTACTTTCTTTTATAAATTTAATAATTGGGAAGAGTGGAACATTTTACACAAAATCAGTTTTTTGGTACTTATAATAATTTTACCAAATATTAGCATTTTCTAAATATAATATAATTTTCATTATTAACAGTACATATTAGAACCAAAAAATATCAATATTATATTATACGCGATGTTTTGCCAAAGATTATATCGAATTACTATATAACTCTAATAGGTAGTAACATAATTAATAAACTACTAGTGGCAATACAAAATATAATATAAAATATCCTAGACAGACTAACATGATAAAATCTATTTGTCTGTATAAAACATTTTAAATTCCTATTTGGTCTTATGGCATCTAAATGTGGGAACCAGTCAAACCATTGAACTTACGAAAAATTCAAGAATTCCAATCAACCTACTCTACCTGATAGCGGGTGCATCTTTCTACATCTTCACTCTACCCTCCAATTTTAATTCTTAATTCTTAATATAGACATTAGACAACATATCTAAAACTGCATTCACCTTCTATAAACGATTCCGATCCCGCTCAGCCAACCACAGGAATTCAGGATTTAGTCATGCAGTGCTTAATCTGGAAATTTGACAAAAAGGCAAAA